GGGCTCAAGGACGCCCAGGGACGCGGTGGGAGGGGGCGCGGAGGGGGGCGGAGTGCGTGACGTGCGGGTGCGTAACTTGCGTCCCAGTCAGGATCCCGCGGGACGTGGGCTCGGTGACCCGGCCAGGGAGGAAGCCGGCGTGTAGGGGCGTGTCCACGTAGAAACGGCGGAGGGGCGTGTATACGTAAGACGCGAAGGGGCGTGTCCACGTAGAAACGGCGGAGGGCGTGGCAGCGTCAAGACGGCGGAGGCGTGTTTACGTAAGACGCGAAGGGGCGTGGGTACGTAGACAAGGCGGAGGGGAATGCCCGGACGGCACTGGGGAGACGCGGGCGCTGAGGGGCGTGCCTGTGCGGGACACCCCGGGAGCGGAGCGGGGCGGGTGGCTCCGGGAGAAAGCTCGCACCGAGGTGGGTGGGTTCGGGGATACGGGTCAGCGGGGCGGGGCCGGATGGCCGCAGGAAGCAGCTCAGGCAGGGACGGCCCGAGAGTGGGAGGTGGTAGCGGGGCTGACGGACGGCCCCAGGGGGCAGCGCCGGCGGGGGGCGCGCTTTCCCTCCCCCGCCGCGGCCCGCACCGCGAGGGTGGCCTCTGCCGTTTTTCAGGACGTCTCACTTCCAATTCAGACCCCAGTGATACTTCGGGTTTGTGGGGCTGTTTGGCATCAGCTTTTCAGGGGAGTAGTTCCCCAAATGTGATGTCCGGGCCGGCTGTCGGGGCACCACCTGGAGCAAATGATGGGCCCCCACCTTCCATCTGGTGGTTCAGGGACTGTGGGGCGGCTCCGCTCTTCATGGCTCGGCGCACACGCAGGTTGGGGACGGCTTCAAAGTGGTGTTTCCCTTCGTTCCGAAGCCGGAGGGGAACTTCTCGCTGTCAGCTTAGGTGATGGCTGTTTCCCTTCAGGACCGTCACCAAACCCCAAACGGGTTAGGCCTTACCTACTCAGACCTTCATACCAGAAGATAAGTGAAAAATACATTTTATGTTTAGAAAGGGGATATGTTAGGAGAAAGATTTGAATTAAAAATGGATGCAGAATTCCAACTCTCCACAAATTTTTTTAATCATAACATCTCATTTATAGATGTTTTGCTATCCTCTCATTCAGACTTCTCTAAGCAAAGCTAGTCCATGGGAAATAATTAATTTCCAGTAAGTAGGTTTGTAACAGACGTAAATTTTATTTTTATAATTGAACAAACAAACAAAAAAACACGAGAAAGCTAAAACACCTTGTTTGGTCTCCTCCACTCAGGTGATGATCTTAAGATGAATCAGTGCGCAGAAAGCAGGGTGGGTTGGATTTGTGTGGGATAAACACTAATTATTCTCAGGCAGCTCAGACTTTTCGTATTTCATAACTTCTGTGGGATGATTCATACTTTCAGTTATTGTTTGCATTCATTTCTTCTCTGCATTCATCTCTGCCCTAATTGAAAAAAATAAAAGGTGGTGTTTGTTAGGTACCATTATATTTCCTATGCCGTGAAGTGGCTCCTTTTATACATTTGCTTGTATAATGTGGTATGAAGCATCTCTGCAGTATCACCTACACTGTAGTCATTAGCATGAACAGCTAATAACAATTCATACTTAGTCAAGAAGCGTTCCTGAAAAATAGGACCTGTGCTCAAAATCTGACACCTACCCCTCTTGGGGTGGTATCCAAACAATTCAAAAGGTCATATTTTCTACCCTTAGTTTTTGAAAAGAATTGGCTACTCTGATTTACATTTTAAATCAGTGACTAAGGAAACTATAATCATTAACAATTGCTAAGTCTACGACATACATTTCCATAACTGTTTTTAAGAGGTTTACATGAATTATCTCTTAATCCTTAGAATACTTCTAAGAAGTAGTGTACTGTTATTGTATGCATGAAGAAAGTGAGTCCCAGAAAGGAACAGCTCTTCTCTGGTCTCTATCCCTATTGTTATAGACATGTGTACAGTGATTTAATTGGTTAATTATGTCATGCTGCACGAATGGGAGATTTGGACTATGGTATCAGCACTACCTCCAGAGTGACTGGAGACTCAAGATCAGCCTTGTGGGCAGTCAGTCATGTTTATGTGCTAAAACCTCAATAAAAGTCTGGATAACACCAATTTATTTTTTATTGTGGTGGTGTGGAACTGAACCTGAAATATCTCCGAACTCCATGTGGTTCTTTTTCAAATTTGTGTGGTCATACTTTATATTCTCTTAGTCCCTCAATATAAATCAAAGTCTGTGTTTTTTTAAAAAAAGGTATTAGTCACTGGAAGTCTTTTAATTCCCTCTTTTTACTCATTTTGTTTCCACTATCTGTTGCTGTTATTCTTGTCATGGTTTCTTGTTTCATTGTGTGTTTGGTTTATTTTGGTTGTGAAGCTGCTCTTTCATTGTCTTTGATACTTTATCAGTAAAGATTTGCCGAGGCTTAAAACGAAGACTTCCTTCAGGGAGGATTTGTATTTGCTTTTACCAGGTACTCAGGGGTCCACAACCAGTTTGGGATATCTCTGAACTAAACTTTCAGCCTGGTTGAATCCCTGTGGTATTGAAGTCATTGGGGCTTGTAATCCAAATTCTAAGTGGCTAAACATACCCTGCTCAGCACCAGGGTTCAGGGCAGACTCTACTCTTCTTTGCAGTCATCAGTGGTGAGTGTGAGTGTGTGTGTGTTTATTTCTAGTTTCATCCTTCCACTGAGGATGTAGCTTTTGGTCTGGTGTCTCAGCTTCACCAGGAAAGACTTACCAGGCTCCCCACCACAGACAGGCTTCACAAAACAAGGCTCAGGTTTGGGTAAAAGCCAGCTGTGGTGCTTGGGGTGTCACATGGGCCAAGCCCCTGGGCCAGAGAGTTCTTTACTTTCTTAGTGGCTCTCTTCACTGCTTTTAAGAATATTAAAAATGTTATTCTGGCTTTTAATTGTACCCAGCTTGCCATTGTGGAGAAGGGGAATAATTCTCTTTTCCCTCTGGTTCTTTTGGGTAGCCAAGTTACCTAATCAACAGAAAATCGATTAAGAAGACAAACTGAAATTTAATCTCGTGCACACAGGAACCCCACATACATGAGTCAGACACCTGGCATACATGACAGGTTCAGAGATAGAAAGGGCAACGGGTATACAAGACATTCTGAGCTAGGGATGAGGTCTGGCACTTTGGGGGCTTCAAAGGGTTGGTTGTTGCAGCGTAAGAGCAGTGTTTAGTAAATAGAAGTTTGTCCTGTCCTACAGACAGGTCAAACAGGTTCTCTCCGATACTCTTATGGGCAAGGCCCCTAATTCAAGTTGTAAGTAATTAAGGGAGGGATAGAACCTTTCTCTTGAGCCCAAGGCTAAAATTGCCTTTAGCGCAAAATAATCCTAATATCACTGAGGCACATCTTGGGGTGGCTCATTCTGAACCCCCACACATTATATAAAATATATTCCCATAATCCATAAATCTGTTTGGGAGACAGGGCACTAGAATTTCTAAATTTATTCCTCCTAAGCCCAACAACACCATCTAAAACTTCATATCAACCAGCACTTCACGCCCAGCCCTGCCTCGTTTACCTTCCAATTTCTTGTTGAACTCTGAACCACTGGTTCCTTTCCTCCTGGTTACTCTCTCCCAGCCCTTCTTGCCTCCTTTCCGAGATTTATGTTCTGCAAATAGTCCATCCCCCAGCATCCAAAACCTTTATGCCATCTGACCTTGAGCAGCATAAGCCACATCCTGCCAGACCTCCTTGGACAGCAGGGAAGGGTAAAGGGTACTAAGGGGGCTTCAATCCTGAGGTCACTATTGCCTATGCAGCCAGACACCTTAACTCTTGATGGGTTTCTCTGTTGCAACGCAGAGGACTTTAGAGCTGAATGCTGCCAAAAGACGACTGTAAATGAAATAGGATTATCTGGGAAAGAGGGTAGAGTAACCGACAGGCTTTGAAGGCATCTCAAAGACTGGTTCCATTTCCTCTCCCTCGGTGCCTTTGGGATACAGAACAGGCTCCTCTCCCTCCCCCACTGGCTGCTCGGAGGGAGTCTCAAGCAGAAATGGGACCAAATGCAGAGCAAGCAAACCAGAAAAACCTCTGTATATTTTGTTAAAACACATTGTTTTCAGCCCTTTTTTCCAGCAATGGTTATCTATATGGTTAAAAAAAAAAAAGGAAAAAACTCAAAAGAACAGAGTTGTCACAAGATGCCCACTTTGAGTGGTAATCTCCAAATCCCTGATCACTTTATCAGGATCAATTTCAGAGATGAGAGCTGTACACCTGAAATGACATTTTCAGGTCAAATTAATTTTTACTTACGTGATACTAAATGACTAATGGCCTTATAGAACTGTACTTGTCTACAGTCAGCATACAACTTGTGGCAGTTATTACAGCTGGATACCTTCCAAGTATCTCCTACACCTCTATCATAGAACAAAATGGTAGTGCAGCTTTTAGTTCAGTATGAGAAACCCTACAATAGGCTACGAGTGAAGGATTACAACTCATTTGTTGAAAGAATGCGTGGCTCTGAAAAGAGCCTTTGGGGTTAGGAGTCGGCCGCTTACTTGCGAGTCTACTTGGAGCTGGTGTACTTGGTGACGGCCTTGGTGCCCTCGGACACGGCGTGCTTGGCCAGCTCGCCGGGCAGCAGCAGGCGCACGGCCGTCTGGATCTCCCGCGACGTGATGGTCGAGCGCTTGTTGTAATGCGCCAGGCGCGACGCCTCGCCCGCGATGCGCTCGAAGATGTCGTTGACGAAGGAGTTCATGATGCCCATGGCCTTGGACGAGATGCCGGTGTCGGGGTGCACCTGCTTCAGCACCTTGTACACGTAGACCGAGTAGCTCTCCTTGCGGCTGCGCTTGCGCTTCTTGCCGTCCTTCTTCTGCGCCTTGGTCACCGCCTTCTTGGAGCCCTTCTTCGGGGCGGGCGCGGACTTAGTGGGCTCAGGCATCTTAGCGCTAAGCGTCACACTACCACCAACGCCTGGCAAAATAATCGCGCCCAGGGCAAAGCCACGAATATTTATAGATACTGTATTCAAATGAGGCTAGTAATATATCCATCCTGATTGGATTAGTCGTAGTATGTCGTCACAAATGAGAATGTAAATAAACTTTTCATTGTACCTTTTCATTGGCTATTTCATTACTTCGCTTGACCCAATCAGAAGGCCTAGACTGTGCTACCCTGAGCTGCTCTAGAGGCCTCTTCAAGCTCTGTGCGGTGTATTGGAGTGCACAGGAAACTGGATGAGAAAGCGCTAGCTGTAGTGCTGTGGGTGGAAGCAATCTCTGCTCACTAGCACAACTCCACGCGCGAGTCGGGCCCGCACCAGTGGACACTTAGCGGCCGGGCTTATATCCTGGATGCTGACGCAGCCGAACAGGCGATGTTGAGAAGCGCATTACCGCGCGCCCCAGGCACTTAAGTGAAGGAAGCTACCAGGAACTCAGCAACGTGCTGTGCGACACGCTGAAATCTAGTACAGTCCTAGTGTTTTAAATACTTGGTTATATGTCTTTCCTCTCATAGCCACCAGTCTGAATTCAAACTTTCGTTAGGTGCTAGGAGGTTCTTTCGCCAAGTGTGTCGGGGCGTAAAGTGTCACAGTGCGGGCCAACTTACTTTTACATGGCGCGCAGTACAGCCTCCGCGTTTAGACCAAGTAGACGGAGGCGACCTAGACCCAAGCCAACTCCGGTCCTAACTCCTCCCTGAGCCGCGCGTCGCCCCAGGCTCGCCCCTCCCCGGAAGCCCGCTCTGCTCCGCGGACCCTCCCTTTCCCCGAGGCC